CTACACATTCTCCTGCTTCCCAAGCCACAGAAGCCCAGATTCTCAAAGATATATAAGCGCCTAACTTCACCAGAAAGCAGTGACAGGAGCCTAAGTACTTTGGAGGTTTCTTCAGTGTCAGAGGGAGGGGCCTTTGTCATTGTTTGGACCAAAGGAATGGTTTTCCTCTTCCTTCCTCAAAGAGTAGAAGGGTCTGATGGGGCCCTAAAGCCACCATGGTACTGATAGACCAGTATTGGGTCCAAACAAGACTGCTGACAGTGGGAAGTAGCAAAGGGGGAAGTTATCCTGGGGCTCAGGAATTTAAAAGGACTCAGGGCTCCAGGACACCACTACCACAGTAGCAGCAGACACTGGAGCCCTGGGCCCTTTAAATTGCCACTGGAGCCGAATGCAGCTAAGTCCTGGTGACACTGAGAGTAGGCCGAGGGAAGCTAGCCCCCGGCCCCACCCCTTCCACCGGAGGCCCTCCACTTTCAGGGCAGAGCCTAGCCACCTCCCACATTGCCCCGGGCCCAGAAAAGTCTGTGGCCAGTCCTGGATCCAAATGTCAACGAGATTGGTGAGAATCCTAGAACTGGAAGGGACCTTGAGAGGTCATCGACTCCTGTCCCCTGCCCTCACGGCAGGACCAAGCACCATCTAGATCATCCCTGACAGGAATCTGTCTAACCTGCTCTTAAATATCTCCAGTGATGGAGATTCCACAATCCCCATAGGCAATTTATTCCAGTGTTTAACCAGCCTGACAGCTAGGAAGTTTTTCCTAATGTCCAACCTAAACCTCCCTTGCTGCAATTTAATCCACTGCTTTTTGTCCCATCCCGAGGCCAAGGAGAACAATTTTTCTCCCTCCTCCTTATAACATCCTTTTAGGTACTTGAAAGAAGTAATGTAGATTCCCTGTAAAAGAAATGTTGATTTTTACCACTTTAAGACAAGAGAAGGGAGGGTTCACTAAATAAAATGAATCTGTGTATTACTCAGTGGTGGGTGTACTTAATAGGGCCAGAACACTTATTTCCCCCGAATTAAAAATGCATCTATATTTGGGCCAAAATCTGCATGGAAATGCTTGGAGGGCAAATCTGGAATAACTCATAAATTGACGTCCATGCTGCCTCAACAGAACCCTCTTTGGCAGCGGCACTGACTGGTAGGAATAGCCCATCCAAAAGCAAGTGGGGATACAAAAGCTCTGACTTGGATCTGTGCCCCTTATGGGGCGTGGTTTCTCAGTTACTCAGCTTCTTCATTTGGGTCAGGTACACTGGAAGGGGGGGTGGCGAGGAGTGGTTAAATAGCTATATGTGACCTTTGCCCCCCTTGTACTCTGGGGCCAACAGTCTGTTCAACACCCCCCACTCTCCATATGCTGGTACAGCCTTAAAGTCCCCTACATGGTAGGGATGTGAATGTTTAACTAATGTTTAACTCGTTTAATGGGTGAGGCTTACTGGTTAAGATTAACCAGTGGGAGCCTGCAACCCCATTCCACCCTTCCTATTAATTGGTTAACCGGTTAATCAATGGCTGTGTCTAGACTGGCCAGTTTTTCCAGAAAATCAGTCGCTTTTCCGGAAAAACTTGCCAGCTGTCTACACTGGCCGCTTGAATTTCCGCAAAAGCACTGACGATCTCATGTAAGATTGTCAGTGTTTTTGTGGAAATACTATGCTGCTCCCGTTTGGGCAAAAGTCCTTTTGCACAAAACTTTTGTGCAAAAGGGCCAGTGTAGACAGCCTATATTTGTTTTCCGCAAAAAAGCCCCGATCGTGAAAATGGCGATCAGGCCTTTTTTGAGGAAAAGTGCATCTAGATTGGCACGGACGCTTTTCTGCAAAAAGTGCTTTTGCGGAAAAGCATCCGTGCCAATCTAGACACGCATTTCTGGAAAATCATTCCAGTCTAGACGTAGTCAATTTATTTAACAGGTAAACCAGTTAAACAGGATTTTATATCCCTACTACAGGGCCAGAGAAACAGAAGATATCCATAGTGCAGTGCATCCTGGGCATGCCCTATCCCAGCGGCTGGAAGCGGGGGCTAGGGAAGAGTGCCACCTCCATACCTGCCAGGAAGTCTCCCTGAACAAGAAGCATTCTCAGGGGGGCATTTGAGCCCATTTTGTGATCCTTTCATAATGCTAGAGCAGCACAAAGGGGGTTTGGTATATCCGGAAGCGCAACCTGGATGGGGGTGAGGGGTGGGGGCAAAGGTAGATAAGTGGGACTATCTGCCTGAGTGAACATTTGGGAGGATTAAGGCTGTAATCATACCCAGGCTAGCTCTGAGTGGTGTCATAAACAGAATGACATGAGCAGACCTATAGTTCCCTCCACAGAATTCATGGGGGTGGGGGACTATGAGGTGCGGTGTCATGAACAGAATGACCTGAGCAGAGCTATAGTTCCCTCCACAGAATTCATGGGGGTGGGGGACTATGAGGTGCCACTGAGCCACCAGACAACTGAGGGGATTCTAGCAAGGGACTCCTGATGTAAGGAAAGTCACCACACCCTCCCACTTAATTCTCCTGATGTAAGGGACTCCTGATGTAAGGAAAGTCACCACACCCTCCCACTTAATTCCCCCACTCTCTGGAAATGTTATTTCAGATCTGGGGAATGCTGGTTTCTGATGACTCTCTCAAAGCCCTGGGTTGCCTCCTCATTGGGTTGTAGATGGGAGCCTGGGGGAGTTTTGCCTGCTTTTAACATTCCTCCCTGTCTCTTCAATTCTTCCAGGGGGGTTTCAGCACAGAGGGGTGGAAGGCAGTGGGATGAGGCAAGGCAGAACTAGCCTGGCTCGTGCAGACTTTTCCCCCTCCCCAAACTATGGGCAGAAACAGTGCAACTTAATGCAGCCTGAACCTTCCCTTCCAAGTGCAGAACCTCTCTGATAAAGGGAAATCCCCAAAGGATTTGTGGACAAAAAAATCATGGCATGTAGACTAGCAAAACAGAGGACTTCAAAGCTGGTGTAGAGAGCCTCTGGCCCCTGGTGCCTCCTCCAAGATCCAAGCCATTCCAGGACGACAGTTGATTTTGGGGGACCAAAATCCCAAGTTAAATGAGATAACTCAGACCCTCCACACCCAATGGAAAAATTCAAGGAAACGCAACAAGCTGGAACTCTTTGAGGCTCATAGTTTGTTTGGATGTATAGTTTGCCAGTGAAATTTCACTCTTCGGCAGAGTTGTATTTATTTTTCTCCAGGCCACGGACTCTAGAAATCTCTCTTGAGTAATTACAAACAGCAGCATCGCCGAACCGCCCATGCACCGGTGGAAAATATGGGCCTTAATAATGCTGGGCCAAGAACCCAAAGAATAGTTAATTCATTGGGAATGTAAAGGATTAACTGGTTACCTGGTAAGCATCAGCCTTATGGCATGCTTACCCTGTAACTGGTTAACTGGGGGCTTTGCCCAGCTGGAACAGCCCCTGCCTGCAGTACAGAAAGTCCTGTCCGACAGAATCAGCCCCCGCTCCCGGTGTGGTGGGCTAGGCCTGGCCTGTCTTATCGCACTGTGGGTGAGGGTTGCTTTTGCCCAGCTGGACCTGCTGCGAAATACTGGGGGCAGAGGGCTGCTCCAGGGTTAACTGGTTAAACATAGGCTGTGTCTAGACTGGCCAGTTTTTCCGGAAAATCAGCCGCTTTTTCGGAAAAACTTGCCAGCTGTCTACACTGGCTGCTTGAATTTCTGCAAGAACACTGACGATCTCATGTAAGATTGTTAGTGCTTTTGCGGAAATACTATGCTGCTCCCGTTCGGGCAAAAGTCTTTTTCCGAAAAACTTTTGCGCAAAAGGGCCAGTGTAGACAGCTGAAATTTGTTTTGCGCAAAAAAGCCCCAATCGCAAAAATGGCGATCGGGGGTTTTTTTGCACAAAAGCGCATCTAGATTGGCCACGGATGCTTTTCCGCAAAAAGTGCTTTTGCGGAAAAGCGTCCGTGCCAATCTAGACACTCTTTTCCAAAAATGCTTTTAACGGAAAACTTTTCCGTTAAAAGCATTTCCAGAAAATCATTCCAGTCTAGACGTAGCCATAGTGTTTAACCAGCAAACATTTTAACCAGGAATTTACCTCCCTATTATTCATATGTTAAAAACCAGGGACCAGGACCCAACTCTCCCCCTTCCCCCCAAAAAAAGAAATGCAAGACATGGCCCATACATAGAGGCCTGGGATGACACAAAATTTGTAGCTGCATCAGTATTCTCAAAAATTAGCTGCACATATCCGCACTGACATTCGTGGATGTGGATACCTGCGCATATAAAGCATATATCCACAAATTTGCAGGATTCTAGATACATTTGTATCCACATCCATATCTGCAAAAATGAGCCACGAATATCCGCACCGACATTTGCATTTGGATACTTGTGGATATCTGCAGATTTGCAGGGCTCTTACCCATCCACTGAAGAAATGAACCAATGTGATGTGATCCCCTGTAGAACTGCTTGGGTTTGATTACCGTTCCAATGCGAAACCCTATTAGACCAGCCTGATGAGACCCGAAGCTCTATTACATCCACGGCTCATTTCCCTGGGCTGCCTATGGACACCCAACAGATCTGCCTTGCCTATTGTTGCTCTTTTATACCCATCGCATCAAGCCACTCATCTCCGCTCCCTCGATCAAACCAAACCAAACCCACCCGGCCCCGAGCAGAGCGGGGAGGGCGGAGAATGAAGGAGCTGGTTGGGGCGGAACAGACCAGGTGGGTTCCCCGTGGGGTCCGTCCCCTGCAGCGCGCGCGTGCGCGTGTGTGTGTGTGTGTGGAAGGGGGTTAGGGCGAACCTCCCTTCCTCCCTCCAATTGTCAGTGGCTGCGGCGCGCTCGCTCCCCCCTGCCGGAGGCGCAATTGGAGGCGGAGCTGGCAGCGCAGCCCGGACCTCTCTATATAGGCTGCAGCTGGGCTCGGCTGGCGGAGCGGGCTTTGTGCG